CTTTGATAGCTCTTAAATACCTCATACAAAACTTTTTCAAGAACAATTTTCGAAAAATATACAAGAGTAAACAAGTTAGCACATACCTTAGTGCTGTTACATAACAGGAACTGATGTGAAAGTTTTTTGTTTTATTTTGTGTTTTTTTATTGTTAGGAGCATATCAATACTCTGTGAGTAGTTTAATAATACATAAATCTCTGAACTGGTGGTATTGCCCACCACTAACCCACTAGGATCCACTTAGGCAGCAAGATTTTATTGCTACTTTTTGTTCTTATTTTGGTATTACATATTCATATATTTAACTTTATCATGCATCTATTGTCCAGTATTATTTTATTAGTCTAAACAAAGGTACACTAGTTCATTCAGCAAGAATAGCAATGGTTTTGTACCTTTCTCAAGAAAACACCAGCATATTTGTGGAACTGCACAACTGACACACATGGCTGCTTTTCTGTACCTGTACACAGAAAAGGTCTTCTAGAGGGTGTTATATTAAATATAGAATAAAAAAAAGTTGTAATGTTTACAAATGATAGCCAATAAAGGTATGAATATGAAATATAATAATACCCGTTCCACGTAAGCTTTCTGTAATACAGTTTTCATATTTTATTTGTATAACCTCTAGGATCTCCAATTTGAATATTAAAAGTTTTTTTTGGCAAAACTTTATATTCTATTTCTTATCTTCTTTACACTAACTGTAGAGAAATCATTACCATACAATAAAATAAAAAAATTAAAATCAATAATACCACATCAAAATGCAATAAAATACAGTAAGAGCCCATTACTTGTTTCCCGTAAAATTAATGTACAGAGCACATGATCAGTGTCATATTTCACATCCTGCTCGATGTTAGTGAAAGTTTAAATGTTTTATTTCTTAAATTTTAAGCTAAACTGAAAAGTTTATAATTTTTACATTTTGTTACCTTGTTAAATAAAATTAAAGCAATCAATAAACAATTACAATTAATTGATTACTGTGACAAAAATCATCAACTAATCAAAATTAGGGTTTATAATTGTTTCAAATATCCATTACATTTGTATGTAGCACAAAGTTACATAATGAATGGTTCCCCCATTGGCTCAATAGTAAGTCTGAAGGCTTATAATGCTAAAAACTGGATTTTGATAGACATTGTTGTCACTGTACAGATAGCCTTTTGTGTTTAACTACAGTGTGTGTGTGTGTGTGTGGGAGGAGATGCTTCATGACTGGAGGGTCTCGAGATTGATTTGCCACTAAATTTCCCCATTGTGTCTTTGGTATTGCAAAGCTACTAATGCTATTGATTTTGAACTGCTGACTACAGGGAAGGCAACTGACTGATAATAACTACTCTGCCTAGTTAAGTACTGAATAAAATGTAAATTTACTCTTTTTGTACATTGTGTTATGTTTCTAATTTATAACTGGGAACTGTATTATTTAATGTTGTATAAGCAGGTGCAGATCTGGGGGAGGGGCCTAGGGTGTCCAGATCGCTATTCATTTTTTTTTCAGAATTAATAACTATATTATTTAATGTTGTGTAAGCAGGCATGGATTTAGGGGATTGAAACTCCCACCCCTTCCACATATTGTTCTCAGAAATGAATATACAGCCAATAGCATCAAAGAGAAATGTTTGATGTCAAGAGTTTTATTTGATTGGTCTATTACTTATCATAAAAGCTTTTTTTTTTTCAGTTTTTCTGAAGTCAACAGAGTTGGAGTCTAGAACAATCCCTTTACAGCCTCATCCAATAACTTATTATTTTTAAATGAATAGAACAACATGAATGTCAATTAAATATAGCCATGGTAAGTTTTCATTCCTTGGCTTTTTTTTCAAACACTAGCAATTTGTGTGTATGTGTGCGCTCTGGACGTTAGAGATTTGTTTTCTTCAGACAGTATTGCTTAGGACACCTGCTGCACTTATAACATACAGTTTTTACAAAAACACAAGTGTTATGACTGTATAAGTGATGACTTTAAAAAAATTTGAAACAGACATCCTGTTTATAAACACTAAAATATGAATTTAGTTGTAGACTTTATAATTATTTTTTTCCTAAATATAACTTCTAACTATTAAATTCTAATTAAAATATTTGAAATGTTTGCCTTTAACTTTTTTTTATTTTCACATCAATCACATTACTATAAATAAAGATATATGGTTTGAAATTGTTGGAATACATCCCAACTGAGCTACTTATGATTTAGTAAGTTAATTGATTTTATTACTAAAGCTGTGAGTAGTGATAAGTATTAAAAAACAACAACAAAAGCTTCAACATTTCCCCATCTTATTTTATTATGAACATTAGTACCATCATGTATTAATTTTTGCATGTGTTTTGAAAAATAATTTTATTTCCAACAATGAATGAAATATTCAACTAACTTACTCATGATGTAAGCCTATAGCTGAAACTAGTCTTGTTTTTAATATTTTTTATTACTTATGTTTTTAGGGTCATAAGGTTTGTTAACATTATATATGTAAATTTCTTGTTATAAAATGTCACAAAGTAGTTATATGTTTATTTTCCTCGAGAAACCTGTGGAATGCTATTAATCGCACTATTTTCAGGTTGTTGCAAGTTTTGTACTACTTTGCATGCATATATGATAAACTTTCATGTACAATAGTTTGTGATGAACAAAATAGCTTACTCCTTCATTAATGTACCTAAAGACAGGACTTCCTCTAAATTTTCACATACTTTTGTTACAAACTTTTAACATAATTTTATATATTAATTCTAAGTACTTAATCAGTTTTAACTCAAATATATTATAAAATTCGTATTTTGTCATATTCTGATACTTATTTAGTACAATTAATGAAACAACAAAAGAGAATACTCAATAGCTGCAGCTGTAATTAGACCTCAACTTGGTCAAGACATGGAGCTATGAGCTAAAAGTCTGTATTTGAACAAAACTCAGAGCCAAAAAAGGCTAAGAAGTTAATATTTTCACTTCTGTACAGTTGCAAAGAGCTTTGGCTGCAAACAAAACAACCTACTTGTTGATTTTTTTAGTATTTTCCTGCCCATCCAAAAGAATAATTATTTTTATTATGGCACCACATTAAGTGATTTAATCATTTACCAATAAAACAAAGCTTTGAAAGTTTAAAAAAATAATTGGGTAGAGCAAGAATTAGACTATTTCATATTAATAGAATAAATATATAGGTTTATGTTTTTTTATAGTTTCTGTAAATTTGTGAATTGCAAAAGTGTATGTGTGTTAAATTATATATGTTTGAATGAGAAGAGATCAGATAACTTGAGATAAGTTAAGCTTATACAGTTTAGAGATGGGTTGAGTGGGTAACAAAGAAAACTTTATTAAAAGTTTAGCACTGTAACAAACGTACAATATTGAGAAGGTTTGTCATCATGAGGTTTAAGAATCTTTCCTAGACACAGGAATATATATATATATATATATATATACACACATATACACACACACACACACACAGTGTGGGTTACTGCATAGTTGAAAATACACAATGGTGAATGCATGGTGGTATTTATCCACCGAGTAAGAAATGTCCATAAGACTTGTTGGAAAATATCTTGTTGACAAACATATGTTGTTGTTTTTTCCACACAGTATGAAACAAAGTCACACAACTGGAGATTATTTAAAACCTAGTAAAGGTATTTTGTTGACATTTGGTGTTTTGTTTAAATACGGCATTTTAATTTTTTAATACATATACTATGGATTTTATCGAGGTACAATGTTTGAAAACATGAGGTTTTTTCTTTTATCATTTTCTCCAAATAAAATTGTCATCAAATCAGACAAGTTTAATGTTTAGTGAGTATAGTAGCAATTGCAAAATATTGTGATGGCTCAAATCTTTAGTGAATACTGTTTTTTGTTTATCCTATTCAAACAATGTACACAAATAAATTATCTAACTGGCTATTTAATTATTTGTAATATTTTTTAAATAAAAATATTATTACCCTTATCATGAGAGTAAAGCATGTTTTCATTATTTATCAGTTTATTTGATTTACAGAAGATTAGTGTGGGTTACTGCATAGTTGAAAATACACAATGGTGAATGCATGGTGGTATTTTTCCACCGAGTAAGAAATGTCCATAAGACTTGTTGTAAAATATCTTGTTGACAAACATATGTTGTTGTTTTTCCCAAATGTACAAATGGGGACCTTCAGAACAAATCTCTTATTTGAATCAGGGTGAAAATTACCTTAAAAAATTGCACTGTATAATAAAATAGAAAAATTTATACCATATTAGTGTAAAAGTTTAGATGGTAGTACAAACTTTTTTTTTTTGCTTGTATGTGTTGCAGGAGGCATGGTGTCCCAATTGATTATTGAAACTGTCAATTAATCAATTGGTAAGTACCATTATCACCCAGCTCTAATTGTGACCACTAGGAAACCCAGTAACTTAAAAGCAAAAGACACAAGTATTTAGTTTGAGACCGAATTGACTGCACACACAAAACAGTTAACCATGCTTGGATAAAAACCACAACCCGAATTTTGTGGATATCTTCTGTTACACAGTCTCTAGCAATTAACAAGTTATGACTATACCTTTACTTTGTTTTCCTTCCTACTTAACAAAAACCAACCTTAATCTAATAGATTGTGAAGATATTTTGTCATAATTATTGAATATCTTAATAAATATGGTTTCCTTATGAGGAGGAGATGACAAGCTCTCATGACAGTAAATCTATTTTCAGTTTTATGGAAATCTGACTCAACAAAATAAGAATTTATAAATTAAAAAAAAAAAAACGACTGCTTTTTGCAAATCTTGTAACAAAGTTCTTTTTCCAAAAATGTCAATTACATAATTTCATGGATTGAAAATCATTCATAAAACATATATATATATATATAGAAACTAACTTATTAATTTTATTTATGCATTTAGTAAGACTATTTATTTAATGATAACAATAGCCATATTTTTAACAACTTACCAGTTCACGACCCTTCCTACTATTGTAATTAGTGAAGAAAGTGAAACCCTTTACTCCAAAACTTTTAAGAAGAACAATTCTGGCCGAGGGTTTTCCATGCCTATTGAAATAAAAAATTTGTACATGTTATCAGGCATAATACTGTTAATGTGTTATAGTAATGAAGTTAAAGTTTCTTATTAATTATGACAAAATAAAGGAGATCATATGAAACTGACAATTTCTGTTCTTGCAAAATGTACTTAATAACAGTAAGCAGAATTACTCAACTTTCAATAGAAGTAAAGTACCACAGAGAGTGACTGAAGAGGAATATCAGAATCAAAACACACAAGTAACAGATATCATGCAGAACATGCATGTTCAAAGCTACTCTATAATATAAAGGTTCACATGGGGCATGCATGGTCATAACCACCATTATTAGTAAGTTCATGTCTGAAGATAGCAAATGCACATTTTCACACACTCAGGGAGTTTGCATTTTTTTTTTTAATTACTAAATGTCTAACCATATGCTTATTTCCAAGCATTATTTTTTAATTTGTAATATATACAATGTATATTCAAATATACCTATAATTTTAAAAAGAATAATGCACATGTACTATATGGCTGATTTGAAATGATTACACAAAAAGTATATGTAATTACTAGTAATAACACTGGTCAACAAGTCATTTTCATTAGATATAATTATAGGTGGGCTAGATAGCTCTTGGAATGCTGATTCCAAATCAGTTTTTGGATTTCCTCTTGCATGTCAAGTTTTCGCGATGAGACCGATCAAATTTGAAAGGTTATTGCGTTAATTATAATTTAAGTTGTTGTACATTTCTTTTTTCACAAGTGTGTACTATATAAAATTAACCAAGTGTAAGATGTGTATAACATTTATGGGAATTACACTGAAAAATGAATAAAGTTGTAACGTTAACTGAAATTAATAACATTAAAATCTAATAACTAGATGTGCTAGAAGAAAATCAAAAACAGACTTGGAATCAGCATGCAAAACTGGTTTAGAAGAGAGTGTGCTTACATCTTTGATAAGAAAAAAAAAAGTTTGATTTTGTCTACCAGTGTAATTGTACATTTCATTTCTAAGCTCTATGTATTTAACTATGTTTGATATCTTTATTACCAATAATTTGTTTCTTTGCTTCTTTTAGAATTTTTATGCAAAACTAAACAAAGGCAACTGGGCATGAACCATGAACTTTCAGATCCACAGTCCAGCACAATTACCACTAGGCCACACCCAGCTCTCATAAGTTAATAATTTGTAGTTTTACATAACATTACATTGAGGTTGAGAACATTATGTTAAAACAATTTTGGAGCCTCAACACATCATTACGCTCATGTCACTACCAGGAGCTGATTAAAGGTCAGATGGGCCTGGGGCTATTATGATTGTGATTAAAGACTAAGGTAAACAAAACTAAACCTCAAGATATGTTTTACTTTAGGAGACAATGAAAAATAACACCTACATATCTGCAAGACTTGTCTACAAATTAATTAACAATATTAGATGTTTCTTGAACATAAAAAGTGGTGCTCTAACACAGACAAACTTGAATTTGAAAAAAAACACCTAGAAAGAAACCACATATACATAAACTCAACAACTAATACATTCAAACTAACAAATGCATAAACACACACACACACACACTTAGATCACATTGGTACACACACAGTATGGCCAGTAGTCACAACAGATAATGTCATCTGTACTTGGTTAAACTACTGTCTTCTTGGCTCTTTTTGCAGAAAAGGCATTTATGATTTGTTTGGTAATAAGTGACTCTAAAAAGTAATTTTCTATGCACAAATGTCCCAATGCATTTAGCCTGTCTTAGCACACATTCTTGAAGTATGTTCTCCCTTTTCAGCATTGAGAATGATCTTTCTCCCAAGCAATTGTTTGACATGAGACACAGGTACAGTCTTAAGATTATCAGGATTTTTGAAAAAGTTGATTTTAGAGATTGGTTGCATATCATTCTCAGTATACTTTGTTCCTTGGATCCTAATGGTTTTTCAGTGAACTCTGCCTAGCAGCGGATGGCAAGTTGAACAACTTCTTCCTCTGTGCAACTCTCCAAGTCAATAGGATATGTACTAATTATCTTTTTGGTGGTACTGCAGAGGTCCTCTGTAGACTTGGACTGATGTTTTCATAAGCCACTACTCTGTTGTCTGATGCAAAAGAAAATTTGTCAATTATTTAAGAAAGGCTGAGCTTTATATTGAGTACAGGGTAAAAAAATCACTGTCCTCAGCATCCCCTTCATGTATTTCTTTTTCTTTTCTTTGATCTTTCAACCTTGTGTCTCACATCCTGATATTTGTTTACCCTTTTCCTCATATTTGGAAAATGAATCTTGTAATTCCTGTACAAATGTCTCAAGAGATTTTAAATGTACTGACATCCATTTAGGAGTATTGTAATGAACGACTTGTCTTATAAAACCTCTCCAAGATAATACTCCATAATTCTCTCATTATACCCATTTCTAGTTGTTCCAACTGTAACATAAAGGCTTCTTGACTTGAGACTTTTCAGACTCATTGTCTATAATGAATGTAAGGACTTGCATTATGACTTTGTACCCCATTTTTAAGGCTCACATTGCATCAGAATGGACACTCTATCTTGTATCTGATAACCTCTCTATTGTCTGGTACCCTGGTTTTTCAAGCAGATTGTGTAGGTGCTTCACAGGCACGTTGAAGGTGACACAAACACACAAAACTTCTACACAAAGGGAAATAACAAACAAGCTTCAGTACAGCAGTCCACAGCACATTGTCCAATCAAGCTGAGCAAATGAGCAAAGCAGGGATCATAGTCTTCTAATGGGTTCTTCTTTTTGATCAAGGCTTGCATGCCAACATACTTGCCACTCATATAGGATGCATTTTCGTTAAACTGTCAAAGGCAATCTTGAATTCTTACAACACTCTTTGCTTATTGGTAAGAATGTGGCGAAGCTCTCAACAGGGCCATCATACAGGATGCATCTAAAGATTATTATCAGTTGATCCATATGGGATATGTCTGGAATAGAATCAACAGACACTGAGTAATACGTGGATGTACTTATTTCCTGGATAAGGGCAGTGAGAACTTCTTTGTGTGGGATTTCTATGAACTTGACATTTTTAATGTGTTTAAGAAATGTATTATACTTAGCCAATAGCTCCAGTATTCCTAAGTTATCGCCATTATGCATTGAACCAACTACTTCATCACTTCCTCTAAATGCTAGCCTTCTTGATGAGAGAAAATTTATGAATGAAAGAATATGCTCTAGAACTTGGTGCCAGTATTTGTTCCTCTGCCTCCATCAGCTCTGTTAAAGTATTGTTGATTCATCTGCTTTTGGTTTTACAAATAAGAAATTTGGTGATGCAACTTTGATGCAGTGAGCTTGTTTTGTACAAACTAAAGTCCCTTGCAGATGTTTCCAGTCAGAGTATCCAGCTGTTGCTTGCAAAGAAGTTTCTATTGCTGTTGAATACAATTTGCATATAATGCATAAGATGGTCCCTTTAACCCTATCACTCCGAGTACCCTTTACTGCACATGACACAAGGTTTTAGTGTCTTACATTCAAAATTTTATTGAACTACTTTTTGTTTATAGTATACAGTTATAGCTAATAATCCATATTTTAATTGTATAGAAGTTTTAACTCCTTAATTCAACAAGGCAATATTAAAAAAAATCCTGAATTTCCACTAATGTGACCCACATGCCACATTTTCTCTTAGCATGTCATTTTATCCACCACTCCTCAAAAAAGTACGAAATTAAATGTAAAATACTCTCTATAAAATTGTTAATGCTCAAACAAATCATAACTTTTATAGCCTTCAATTTTGTTTGGTTACAAAGCTATCAAATAGAAAATCAGACCCCTTCTGCCACACCCACATCACATCCTCTCTTTCACAATTCGTTGATAGTTCTCTCTTATGTTTCATAATATATTACCTTAAAGCAATAGAAAGTAAAAGTTTTCATCTGTCAAACGACATATTATATAATGTAGTGTTCTGAATCGTTAAATTCCAATTTCATTCAGAGTACAAGCAATGTTCCTGTGGGAAAGTTAACGACTAGCTTCGATGAATTTGTAACGGCTCTTGTCGCATAGTTAGAAAGCTAGGAAAATTTTGAGAGGTAAGTGAATTTGTTTACTTTTTGCATGTTATTAGTCTATATTCTTTGGTGCAATATCTAATTGATTAAAAATCATTAAGTGCAGTACTATCTATAGTATAAAAAATTAGAGTTAACTCTCTTCGAAAACCCAAGAGCAAGAAAAAAAGATTGGTTAAGTACTTTATTTCTTGTTTTTCATATTTATTCTTTATTTATTATTATAAAAGTAACTAAAATCTAAAAATATGGATCTTTTTAAGTTATTTAAGACGTGAGCAGCTCCAGGTAATGTAATTCAATAGCATAGCGTGAGCTGCACATTCCCCGAGTGATTTATAACTTATAATGGCATGGATAGTAGTTAGACATGGTTCAAAAGGCAACAATAAAAAATAATAATAAGTAGATGTATACTGTAGTTTCATGTTATAATTTGAAGCCTTTCTAGAAAAAAAAAAAAAAGGATAATTTAGGTTTATTTCAATTTTTTCTTTGGTGGTTACGAGGTCAGTCAAATTGACCGATCTCATTTTGAGAAAGGCTAGATAAAATAACAGATAAACTATAAAGTTTTACTGAAAAAAAAAATTTGAAATGCATTTAGGAGGTTTTAGGTATTACGCAAAGGAAATTTTAGAATTATGAAATGAGGAAAAGCATTTTTAATTTTAACATGAAAATTACTTTGCACTCAGACAAATACTCAATATATTAATGGACAAATCTTTATTTTATTTTATTAAAAATACTTGATTAAAAAATATGATTTTTTTGTATGAGAAAGACTTATAATATGAACTGAAAACTGCCAAATTTTGTGAAGATATACACACTATATTGAAAGTTAGAAGTATAAGACCTATGAAGACTTTAATTAAGTACAAAGAGATCATGTGGTCAGTCAAATTGACTGAGCCCGTGCTGAGAGAGTTAATGGGGAGTAGCAAAGCCAGTCTCTACAAGCAGGGAAGGGAAGGAAATAGACCTGGAGAGAGAGAGATGTAAATGAAATATGAAGACAAAGGTTCATGGGGATGATGTGAAAGGCATAATGGACCACAATGAGATCCCAATCAAGCAAATCAAATGAGCAGAAAAAGGAGGAAAATGACAGGGAAAGACAAAACCAGATGAAACCAGGAGAAACAGAATGTGATCAACAAGACCACCTGATAGCAAGACCAAGTCAAAGTTGACAAACCTTTGTCAAACAACCAGATGAAGAATTAGGAAAGATGAGAAATGGAAGGGTAAGAAGGACAGAAACCACATCAAAGAGACTGAAGGTAGAAGGCAGACCATCGCTTCTGGCAAATGGAAAAAGATCACATGGATCTGGAAAGGAAAGATGCAACAAATGGAGTCAGTCCCTGGGCTGAAGGAATGGACCTGACAAAAGCCATGTGTGAAGATAGAGGGTGGTGACGTCTGGATGAATGGTGTCTGACTGAGATTGATGGAGCAAAGACCAAAACAGAAGTAAGGATGGGGGAGGTTGTACAGATAAAGGTCAGAGCAGCATGAACCATGGTTGAGCCAGCCGAAATGGAGCCACTGTTAAATCCTCGCTTACTCATTTGTTAACTGACTAACTCACTGATAAATACCAACTCTTTAGTGTTTTTATACTATTACAATACCCCCCCCAAAAAAAAGTATCTAGAAAATGTCAGACATCACATGTATAAATTAAAATATTAAAACATAGTTCACAACACTATTAACTTATTAAACATAAACAACATGCAGAATATTTCACTAAAGTATAACAAAAATAATACTAACTTGTCTGATGTTGCAAGTGTCATTGCATTAGCTTCAGAAATTTCTGGAGTTTCAGAGGCAACATTAAACCACTGTTTAAAAATACCAATTGGTTCTTTAACAGACAATGATCTCTCTGTAAAGGCATCCTTGTGTTCTTTATATGGCTTTCGCCATCCTGTATTTTTAGAAAAAATGTTAGAATTAGCACAAACACCAGCTTCAGGTAAAATACAAAAAAAAAAGAAAAAGAAAAAATATTTTCATTTAATATAATACTCACTGATTACTTCCAACAATTAATTTAACAAATATCATATAAGTCATGCATGATTAAGGCAATACACTCTTGAGTTTAAAACATTTTCTTTCTATAACAATAATAAAAAAAAATTTACATGCATTTCTCATTTCCATTTCTACCCCAGAGTTATAGACACAACCTTAGACAGTGGTTAGTACATATAAACTGTAATTACACAATAAATGTACCATGTGTAGTTTTTTACATTTACCTGTTTGAAGGAACCAATCTAGTATTGTTTGTTACTTTCAGATGGAAGCATCTGTTAATAAGCAATAATCCATTGCATATCACTCATTATCACTTAATCATGTACGAATCACATAATCTGTACATTGCAAATATTAATTACAACTACATTATGAACAATCTTCTCTTCCAATACATATGCTACTACTAGTAGTAGTACAAGATAAATGTCATAATAAACAGTAGTTCATATGACTATGTTCTCTCTGAAGAGATGTACAAGGCACTGCAAACAAAATATCCATGCATGCTGAGCTACAACATATACAGAGTATATTTCTAGTTAACCAGCAGTTAGATATAGACTTGTAGAGAAAATAACAGGTGACAGTTGTAATTTTGTGTAACATGCCACTTTGTTCCAATTACTGTTACTATTAAGATTGTATAATAATAATGTGTAAAATGTTTCCAAAACAGGCAGATTTACCTCTGAAAAACCAAAAACATTTTTCTTGTAGAGTTGGTCTCATCCCATCAAGAAACATAAGACTTAAAATCTGAATGTCCTTGACACAATGCAGAGTATACATCAGCTTACCCATAGTTCTCTACTCTTCCACATGATTTATTGCACTTGTATCAGGAGGACGTATACAAGCTCTGCTTTCCTTCCACAATCCAGATCTTGTTTCATTGACAGTTACATTGTTACATTTGCTATAGGGAATTCAGAAGTTAATGTTAATTTTGATCCAAGTACTTTCAACAATAATATAAAAACTTCACCTTACTAATGCACTTTGCCCCTAGTGTGCAGGGTGATAACTGATTAAGATACGGCTATTAGTTGTTTGCTGGTGTCCCTCGTGGGTTTCACAATTTTAGGCACCCAATTTTCATAACATCGACCATCTTCTCAGGATTCTGAACAATATCAATCTTCTTCTCAGGCCTAATCATCTCCAATATCTGCAGAGCATGGATATTTGCTAGCCCTAATCGCGAAAAAGCTTTTACTGCCTCATTTCTCTCGGTTAAAATCTATTTTGAATCTTGACCAGTGTCTATCATACCTGAAAGTGTTAGTCATAGTTCAGTATTTGACTCTCTCTTTCTTCAACCTTCTCCTAATATTCTTGATGTTGCTGATGCTTTTAGCAACTAGTGAAATATTAAAAGACTTCATATTCCACTACCCATGTTATTTCTCAAGTTCTTGACCTTCAAATTGGTTATCAAGGAAGAGGAGGGGGACCCATGTGATCTTTTACTTTAACTCACCCATTTTTGCCATGCAGGATATGATTTGTCTTGCTTTGAAAATTTTCTCCTTCTGCACAATTATTACCTATTAGCTATTCTCATTTTCCCAATTCTCTTGGGATCAAATATCTACTTTGCAGTTTTCATTGATACTGTTTCTATTTCCTGCACAGATTTGTCTTTGCAAGTATTTAACCTGAACTGTTATTAAATTCAGAAGAAGTGTGCCAACAGGAGTTGATTTGGGTTTGAGCATCTTGTTTTGCTTCTTGTCATATTCTCTTTTCAAAATGACCAACAAGTAATATCTGTTCTCTTGCCTTACCCCCATCACATTCTTTTCAGTTGATGCCTGCTACATCTACTCATACCTTTCAAGTGCCCTAACATTCAAGTAGGTAAAGTGTCTTTTCAACCAACTCACTGACTTTTTCTGGGATCATTTATTCATATGTGGGACCCTTGACTTTGAGATCACTGGGTTTGACAGATTCTAGAATTTGGTCTTTACTCTCACTTTTGTCATTGTCCTCCTGCTTTCCTCTTCCTTCTGATACCATTGTTTACAAGTTCTGGATCAGGAAGTATTTGATCTTGTTCTCAAGTGAACAATACAAATCATTTTTCATGCATCTCTATGTTTTTACTCCTGTTTCTTTTTACTTCCAAAGAATATTGAAGAATGAAGACCTGTTTCAATCTTTACCTGGATAAACCACATTTCAAAATGGAAATCATGAAGATGTTACAGAAGTTTCTTTGTTGAGGTCATTAAATGACGGTAGAAATACATCCCTATTCATCCATCTTGTCATTTTTGTTTTTTGCCACCAGTGGGTGGTTTAATAGTTCAATGCCTTTCCCTTCAAATTGATCTTGGCTCCATACATCTTGGCTTCCATTACCTCAACACTGACTTTCACTTTTACATAGATGAATGGCTTATTCCGACTTTTTTTTCCCCCACTAAGTCTCTTACACTTCCGCATTTGACTGCCAAACTAGCTACAACTTTTGGGTGAATAAAATACAACTCCAGATCCCATTTAATATCAACACAGTATTTGGTACACTTGAGATTTTGAATCAAAATGGTTCAAGAAAAACTTCTTCTCTGTTTTCCACACCTACTGCCAAAGACATCCTTTCTACTTTGTGGGCAATGACCTCACTTCACAAAGTCATTCCTTCAGAGCACACTGATCTTGAATGGGACATTGCTTTTCAGTGATTTCAGACTTTAGATCCATTATCATGACAAAAGGATTTCCTTTTCTTCATTTTTGCTTCAAACTTCATCTTTTCACAGATGCCTTTTACAAGGGTTGGGGGCAACGTGTTGAGTTCTTGGAATATTTAAGAAGTAACGGATCATTTCAACATGTTAGAACTTTGGACTATTCAATGTACCTGTTTCAAGTTTCTGTCCATTATTCTCCACCAATGTGTTAGACAACTCTATTGTGCTAGATTCATCAACAATCAGGTCAGTACTAATTCTCACAGTTTTTGTTTTGCTGCAGCTACTCTAGTTCTTTAGCTTAATTCTCAACATGTCCACCTTTAAGGCTATCATGTTCCTGGTGTGATGAGCATTTTTGCCAATACTTTCTGAAAGCTGTAGCCATTCCCACGAAATGCACCCTTCAATTTTGGATTTATATGGATTTGCAAATGCCTGGTTCATTTGATGATTGATTCATTTACTACATCAACCAATCAAATTCTTCCACCCTACTGGTTTCCACTTCTAAATTCTCTAACAGTGTATGACTGAGTCAATCTTAAGAAGAACATCTTCCTTTATACACCTCTACTTAACCATCCTTGGGTTTTCATCAAGATCAGTAACTTGAAGTGCCAGGTTTTCTTCATTGCTCTACTTTGGTCTACTTAACCATGGTTACTCTATTATGTCAACTTTCTTATGAGGAATATGCCCCATTTCTATCATGAAATTATCTTCTACAATAACCTCAAACATCCTGTGATTCTTCAAGCCAGATGGCATACCTAGCAGGTGGGTTATAATCTGTTACCTGCTTAGCTAACACTTAGGCAAATACCTCTGTTGTGAATGGTAATCCATAAGGTCCAACACAGTCTTTAACAATTGCAGAGACATCATGGCTTCACTGGATTTAATAATAATAAATAAAACAAAAACATGATTTCCTTATAATATTTGACTGGATTTGTCCAGTCAAGACACTCACAAGTTATATATATTTCTGCAGTTGTCCTAGAAAAAAATTCCACCCTATGCACTGTTGTGCCATGAGAGGGTGATGCATTACACTTACTGAATTAATGCTGAAATATACAAAACAACAAAATACAATCTTAATACTGATCAACAAGGCAGTATTTCTTGTTACTGACTTATAGTGTCTGAATTGTCTTGTCATCAAATATTTTTGTTTATTTTCTCTTTCATAGCTAAAAGTACAAATATAAGAAGACCTCTTGTCCTTTACCATTACTTCTTGTATTATCATTGGGGTAATTCTCTCCAGGTAGATGGTAGAGGGAAATCACTAGTGGGTCCATCCTTGTTGATACACTGGAAGTGGTATTCACAAAAATCTTAGGCAATCCAGCAGGTTGACTTACTTCTTTACTGGAGTTAAACATTTGGTTTTCTCCCATCATCATCCTTCCACAGACAATCATGAGTGATGACCCTTGAACTGGACCACCTATTTCTCTATATCATGCTATTTTGTACTCCAGGTCAACTTTCTTCATTATCCTGTGTAACCACCATTATAACTTGAGGTCTGATCTCTGGTGGTGTAATTGTCATGTAGTGCAGGGGGATTGCTAGTTTTTATAAGAAACTATTTGATGCTAGTCTAACCTTCCATCCATGTTCTTTCATGGAGTCAGTTCCCAACATGCATTCTGCTTCAATGTCAACTATCCACAACATCATGCAGTGTAAACATGCTTTCCACAATAAAAGACTTCCAACTTTCCTCTTGCTGGAGCTTTATGACCACTTGCTGTTCACATCAATCCATCTTTCTTCATCTTTGGAGGCAACTTTTCACTTTTCATTAACAGACTGGGTCAAACAACTGTAACCACAAAACCAGTGTTGATGAATATACTAAAAGACTTCCCATCAATAAATCCATTGACTTGTGAGCTGGTTTCTTTAAATAACACATTCCCTACTTCTACTTAGGCAGAAGAAGTATTCTCATCCTCAAGATATTGTCTACTTGGTTCATTTTCAATGACTGATTTATCACAGTCTTACATGTAATGTCCATGCTTTCCAAACTTATAACGGTTTTTAGTAATATGTCCTTTTAAGTTACATTAGAAAAACTTCTGCCCTGTGGCTTACTTCCTCCATCCTGAGTAAACAGTTAATTAAAAGCTTTTGTCTGCATTTCCTAACAATATGCCCT